AATTTATGATTGAATGAGGACCACTCTAAAATGTATTCTGCTTAACAAAAAAGCAATTCATATTTATTCCCCATCATTAGATAGGGATTAGTTAGTTTTCAGATGATTAGGACCATTCTTTCTCATGTCTTGGAACCCTACTTAAGTTCCCCATTTGTGACAAGTATATTTTATTTCAGAAAAATTTGAAAAAATGCCTTATATAGATCTAGATTCCGTAGTAACAAAGTTTGGAAACTGCTGCATTCAGAAAGCTTGTTTCTTATGTATTGGAGCTGATCATTTAGTCATAAGAAATGAAAAGTGCTGTGGGCAGTTGAACATTGTGAATTTTCATAGTGGCTCAACAGAAAGTTACTGGGCACAGGTGTTTCTGTAATTGTGATGTATGGGGGCAGATTCAGTGTTCAATGGTCCTCAAACCCACACTTCCACCTGTGTGGCATAGTGGTCACTGGGCTGTGATATAAAACATGTAAAGTGAAGAGCATAGCATTTACCACACGAAAGGAAAAAAGTCTCAACCACTATGCATATCCTGGTTTGTTTTATATAGACCTAATTTTGGGGGAGGGAGATGACTTCTTTTTTTCCTTTGAGAAAAATATTAAATTTAAACTTTTATTAAACGTGACCCTTTTTCCGTAGTGAATGCATTTCTCTGGTAAGGCGTGCTATCCATACTGAATAGCTCATTTAACTAAGCCAGTACGATATTGCTAATCACCTACCCGCTCTGGTCTTGCTAGGCACATCTAACCCAATATCCTAGAGATATACCACCAGTATATTGCTATAGTATCTCTGAACTGAATGTTTGTGTTCCCCCAAATTCATATGTTGAAGTCCTAACCCCTAATGTGATGGTATTTGGAGGTGAGGACTTGGGAAGTAATTAGCTTTATTTTTTTTTAAGATTTTATTAAAAAATATATATATATATATTTTAATGTTTTTACTAATTTTGAGAGAGAGAGAGGGACAGAGTGCGAGCAGGGGTGGGGCAGAGAGAGAGGGAAACACAGAATCTGAAGCAGTCTCCAGGCTCTGAGCTGTCAGCAGCAGAGCCGGACGTGGTGCTCGAATCCATGAACCCCAAGATCATGACCTGAACTAAAGTCGGATGCTTAACCGACTGAGCGACCCAGGCACCCCAGATTTTATTTATTTTAAGTAGTCTCTTACACCCATTGTGGGGCTTGAACTTACATTCCTGATCAAGAGTTGCATTCTCTACTGACTGAGCCAGCTAGGTGCCCCTGGAAATAATTAGGTTTAAATGAAGTTGTGAGGGTAGGAGGTCTCACTGTGGGAATAGTGTCCTTAAAGAGACACCAATGAGCTGCTGCTTTCTTTCTCTGCCATGTGAAGGCCTAATGAGAAGGCAGCCATTTGCAAGGCAGGAAGTAGGTTCTTACCAGGAACCCCAATATGCTAACATGTTGATCTTGGACTTGCCAGCCTCCAAAACTGATAATGTCCATTGCTTAAGACACCCAATCTGTGGTATTTTGTTACTATACTAATACAGCTATCATGGATTGCATGAGAATGTCATGTTGTATTCCCCTGCATAGCTTTTTTTTTTTTTAATTTTTTTTTTCAACGTTTATTTATTTTTGGGACAGAGAGAGACAGAGCATGAACGGGGGAGGGGCAGAGAGAGAGGGAGACACAGAATCGGAAACAGGCTCCAGGCTCCGAGCCATCAGCCCAGAGCCTGACGCGGGGCTCGAACCCACTGACGGCGAGATCGTGACCTGGCTGGAGTCAGATGCTTAACCGACTGCGCCACCCAGGCGCCCCCCCCCTGCATAGCTTTTAAACATGAGGTGATAGTCTGTGTCCACAGCAGATTGTAGATTGTTTTGTCCTGGTACAAATCTTAGATGGTGCTAGTGCCCTCCAGGCTATCACTGAATTCAGAAGGCGAGTGGATATATTCAGTGTCTTTTTCTTGACTACTGTAAATTCCAAGGTAATAAAAGAGAGAAAGATGACAAGATGAAGAATAATGATTCTGAGGTAAAATCCTGGCCCCAGCACTTTCAGTCTGTGAGATTATTGATAAATTCATACAAACTTGTGTACCTCAGGTCTTTCATCTTGTGAAAAAGATGGTGAATACCTGCTTTGCTTACCTCATGGGGTTGTTTTAAGGATCCAGTAAGATACTTGTGAAAGTGCTTTACTAACATCATGGATTACTTCAGCTGAAGTTGCTTTTTATTTCTACTGATTCCAGTGTTACTGGTCACATGTTGCAAAAGTAGATGTTTTTCAGGAATATTTGATTCTTTCATCAATTTTTATATATAAGCAGATTTTACATTATGTAGTTCTTAACTTTTGTCAATTTTATTTTTTTCTTTATATTTTGTTATTCCTTATGAACTGACATAAAGATCATAGTTTGTGTTTATTTCGTAGTAAATCCATTGAGATAAAATGAGCAAGTCTCTCTGTATCCTAAGATCTCTTAAAATCAAAGCTTATATTCGGAGTAAAAAATTGTGGGCTTAAACACTGACTTACTACAGTTTTTGTGGAACATTTGTGTTTGGAGTGTCAGATAAAAAAATAGAGTATTGCTACTTAAGTATAATTTTAACCTTTCTTTATTCCGTGAGTCTGTGTAATAATAGTCACAGTACTTTAAAGATGTATAAACTATGCCTTTATAAATACACTTTATGGAGTAGAAGGTATTTTTTGCCTTCATAAAGTTAATATTTAAAGTAATAACATTTCTTTTTACTGAAAGTAAATATTTTAGACCAGAGTGAAAAGATTATTTTATTCTGATGTTTTTATGTTACCATTTGGTGTGGTCCATACAAAATGAAGGGAGACCTATCTTCATATGAGAGAGGTTCATGTAGTAAATTCAGTGGTTCTTTTTCCCTCCTCTGGTTCTTTTTTAAAATTACCCTCGATTCTTTAGACCAGTTTTAGGTTCATAACAAAAGAGGGCAGAAAATGCAGAGAGTTCCCAAATATAGTTGACCCTTGATAAATACAGGTTTGAACTGCGTGGTTCTACGTACATGTTTTGTTTTTGGTTTTGTTTTTTTTTTTTTTTTTTTTTTGGTAATTACAATATTGTTAATGTATTTTGTCATCCTTAAGATTTTCTTAATAACATTTTCTTTTCTCTAACTTACTTTATTGTAAGAATACAGTATATAATGCAGTATAATGTACAAAATATGTGTTGATTGACTTTATGTTATTGATGAGGCTTCTGATTAGTAGTAGGCAATTAGTCATTAAGGTTTGGGGGAATCATAAGTTAAACTTGGAATTTTTAACTGTGTGAGGGTTCAGTGCCCCAGGCTTTGTGTTGTTCAAGGGTCATTTGTACTCCTTTTTTCTTTATACACTCAACCTTTCCCATTATCAGCATTCTGTACCATGGTGGTACATTTATTACAGTTAGTGAATGTATATTAATACATCAATTATCACACAAAGTCTATAGTTTACATTAGTTTTGATTGTTGGTGTTGCATTTTCTGTATAACATGACTCCACCATTGTAGTATTATAGCAAATAGTTTCACTGCCCTAAAAATCCTGTCCTCTGCCTAGTTGTCCCTCTCCCCTCTGCCAACCCGGCAATCAATAATTTTTACTATCTCCATACTTTTGCTTTTCCTGAATGTCATATAGTTGGAATCATACACTGTGTAGCCTTTCTAGATTGGCTTCTTTCATTTAGTAATACTCATTTAAGAATTCTCCACATCTTTTCATGGCTCTATAGCTCATTTCTCTTAAGTACCATCTGATGTTCCATTGTTTGGATGTACCACAATGTATGCATCCTTCCCACTTGCTGAAGGATTGTTTGCTGTAAGAATTGGTTATTATGAATAAAGCTGGTATAAACCAGCTTTTTGTGTGTGTGATTTTTATGTTGGACTCATTTGAGTTTGAGTTTTTATGTGGACTCATTCGAATATGAACCAAGCAAGGATCTTGATTATTAGATCATTTGGTAGGAATATATTTAATTTTGTAAGAAGCTGCCAAATTGTCTTTGATAGTGGCTGTACCACTATGGCTGTACCATTTTGTATCCCCACTGGCAATGAATTGAGAGTTCCTGTTGCTCCACATCCTCATTAACATTTATTGTGGTCAGTGTTCTGGATTGTGGTTATTCTAATAGGAGTGTAGTGTTATCTCATTATTGTTTCAGTTTGCATTTCCCTAATTATATTTCATGTTAAACTTATTTTTATATGTGTATTTTCCATCTATGTATCTTCTCTAGTGAGTTGTCTGCTCAGGTCTTCTGCTTTTTGAGTTGATTGCTCTCTTATTGTTGAGTTTTAAGAGTTTTTTATTTAGGGGGATTGAAGATGGCAGCAGCATAGGAAAATCCTGAACTCAGCTCTTCTCACAGACACAGCAAACTTATAGCTATAAATAGAATAATTTTCCTCTGAAAAGAACATGAGAACTGGGTGTCTAACACTTCCACAACAAAAGACAAAAGACACATATTAAGATGGATAGGAAGGCCAAGACATGGCCTCACCCATGACCCTGTCCCAGATGTGGTGACACCGCAATCAGGAAGGTCCCCCATATATGAGATTCTCCCTTGAGGAGTATCCCATTTTGGGCACCCTAGCCCTAGGGGCTGGCACCAGAAAGACAAGCCCCCAAAATAATCTGGTTTTGAAAATCAATGTGGACTAAGACCAAAAGAATCAAAAAAACTGTAGTGATCAAAGAGCTATAGGGAAGAGAGATGTTGCTCTTAGAGGGCTCAGTTGCAAACCATACCTGCCCTGAGATCAAGTGCAAAAGCAACAGTTTGCTAGTGCATACCATAAACAAGGGAGACCCACTTATTCATTTTATTTAAAAAAAATTTTTTTTAATATTTATTTTCAAGACAGAGTGGGGAGGGGGGTGTGGGAAAGGGGCAGAGAGAGAGAGACACACACAGAATCTGAAGCGAGCTCCAGGCTCTGAGCTGTCAGCACAGAGCCTGATGTGGGGCTTGAACTCAGGAACCGTGAGATCATGACCTGAGCCAAAGTCAGACACTTAACCGACTGAGCCACCCTGCCACTTACTCATTTTAAAGTGTCTACCAGAGAGATAGGAATTCAGGGGTTTTATCTGGGGATGGAAGTGTTAGTGGATAATATTTTTGCAATCTCATCTTAACTTTCTGGTGATAGAGCAGACGGACATTGTTCTTGGTGCTCTCCCTCTACTCAGGTACCATTGGAGGGAATGCTCTGTCCACCCTGGGCTGTAACTAGGCTATGCAGGCACCCCACACTCTGCTCACCCCATTAGCACCTAAGGTGCAATAGTGCCAGGCAAGCATTCTCACCCCCACCCTCCATGTGCAGTATTCCAGCCAAAACTGGGCCAGACTAAAGCCATTAGCCTTGTTCACCCCAAGTAGAGACTGAGTTGTAACTGGGGTGATCTAGCAGCTTGAACTCTGCTCACCCTACACAGTGACTGAGCCACCCCCAAGTCAAGTGAGTGTTTCCAACACTGACGTCCCTGTGCAGCAGCCACAGCCCTATCAGTGGAAAGCCAGTGGACACATGCAGCCTATGTAAATGATGCCTATAAGAGTGACTAGCTCTGATCGCCAGATGGCTATTACATCTCTGATCCACATGGGACAGTTTATACACATGACCAGTCATCAGACTGAGATAGCCATTTCCCTTAACATATAGAAAAACAGATATGGCAAAATGAAGGCAAAATGAAGAAACAGGAACATGTTTCAAACCAAAAACAAGGTAAATTCCTGGAGAAAAGACATTAATGATATGGAGATTAGCAACCTACCAGATTAATAATTCAGAGCAGTGGTGATAAAGGTGCTCACTGTTCTCTGGAGAAGAATTGACAAATACAGTGAGAACTTCAACAACAAGATAGAAAATGTTAGTACCAAACAATTTATAACTTAACTGAAAAATACACTAGACAGGTCCAGCTGCAGAATGGTTGAAAGAGAAGTATAGACCAGCAAGCTAGAAGGCAAAGCAATGCAAAACAGCAGCCAAAGCAGCAAAATGAAAAAAAAATTAAAAGAAGTGAAAATACCCTATGGGACATCTCTAAAAACATCATGCAGAGTAACATTTTCATTATAGGGGTCCCAGAAGGAGAAGAGAGGGAAAGAGTCAGAAAAATTATTTGAAGAAATTATGCCTGAGAACTTCTTTAATCTGGGGAAGGAAAGAGACATCTAGGTCCAGGAATCCCAGAGAGTAACAAGATGAACACACTGAGAAACATAATTAAAATGGTGAAAACTAAAGATAAAGAGAAAACCGTAAAACCAGCAAGAGAAAAGCAACACATTATAATAAAGGAAACCCTGTAAGACCATAAGGAGATTTTTCACTAGAAACTTTACAGGCCAGAAGGGACTAGTTTTGACATATCCAAAGTGCTGAAAGGGAAAAATTGCCAACCAAGAATGTTTTTAACTCTGTAAGGTTATCACTTACAATTGAAAGATAGAGTAAGACCTTTCCAAATATGCAAAAGCCAAAGGATTTCATCACTACTAACCTGGTCTTACAAGAAATGTTAAAGAAACTTCTCTGAGGTAAAAAGAGAAGGCACTAATTACTAATAAAATATACAAAAGTAAGAATCTCTCCAGAAAAAGTAAATAAATAATAATGGTTGTGGATCAAACACAAAGTAAGTGCAAAGGTTAAAAGACAAAGTAGTAAAATTAATTAAAGATACATTAACTAGTTAAGGGATACCTAAAATAAAAAGATGTAAAATGTGTCAACAGAAATTTTAAATGCTGGTAGTAAAGTATAAAGCTCTGGAATGTGCTCAACATTAATTTACTCTCAAAAGTGACTTGCATACATAAGCTATTATATGGAAGGAGTGCCTGGGTGGCTCAGTAGGTTAAACTTTGGACTCCTGATTTCAGCTCAGGTCATGATCTCATGCTCGTGAGATTGAGCCCTGCATTGGGCTCCATGCTGGGTGTGGAGCCTGCTTAAGATTCTTTCTATCTCTCCTTCTTACTCTACCCCTGTGCCTTCCCCTCTGTAAAAAAAAAAAAAAAAAAAAAAGATATGGGAATCTCATGGTAAACACAAAGAAAAAAACTTAAAGATACACAAATGAAAAAAGAGAATGTAAATATTAACACTAATGAAAGTGATCAATTTAACAATTCTCAAAGAGAAGAAAGGAACAGAGAGGAACTGCAAAATCAGAAAACAATTAGCATAATGGCAATAAGCACATACTTGTTACTAATTACTTTATATGTAAATGGACTAAATTTTCCATTCAAAAGACATAGTGTGGCTGAACAGATAAAAGCACATGACTCTTCTGAGTGCTGCTTATAAGAAACTCACTTCTCTAAAGATATACAGACTGAAAGTGAAAGGATGAAAAACATATGCCATGCAAACTGATATGAAAAAATGTTAGTGTAGTAGTACTCTAATATCAAAACTAAGCCACAAAACAAGTCTCCATACAATTAAGATTTTAATCATAACAAACACCTTTTCTGGCCACAATGGTATGAAACTAGAAATCAATTACATGAAGAAAACTGGGAAAAACACAAACATGTGGCAACAAAACAGCATGCTACTAAACAACCAGAGGGTCACTGAAAAATTCAAAGACCAAATAAAAAAATACCTTGAGACAAATGAAATGGAAACTCAGCATTCCAAAATATTTGGAACAAAGCAAAAATAGTTCTAAGAGGGATGTTCTTGGTAATACAGGTCTACCTCATTAAAAAAGAGAAATTTCAAACATTCTGCATTTAAAGGAACTAGATAAGAACAACATCCAAAGTTAATGGAAAGAAATAATAAAGAGCTGAAATAAATCAGAGACTTTAAAAAAATAGAAAAGATCAATGACCTTAAGAGCATGTTCTTTGAAAAATTAAACAAAAATCAACAAACTTTAGCCAGACTCATCAAGAAAAAAAAAAAAGAGCCCAAATAGGCAAAATTAGAAATGGGAGAAATTACAACCTATGCCACAGATATACAAAGGATGACAAGAGAATATTATAAACAGTTATATGCCAACAAATTAGACAACTTACAAGAAATGGAATTTCCCTAGAAATAATCTTTGAAGACTGAATCATGAAGAGATAAAAATCAGAATAGATCAGTCATAAATAATGAATTGGTAATCAAAGACACACAAAAGTTTAGGTCCAGAAGGTCAGAAGATGTCACAGGTGAATTCTTCCAAACATTGAAAAGAGAGTTAATACCTGTCCTCCTCAACTTATTCCAGAAAATTGAAGAGAAAGGAGAACTACCAAATTTATTTAATGAGGCCGGAAATACTGTGATACCAAAACCAAAGATACTACAAAAAAAGGGGGGGGGGCTGTATCTGTGTTGAATGTAGATGCACAAATCGTCTACAAAATATTAGCAAATTAAATTCTAACAATATATAAGAGGCTTATAAAACCATGACCAAGTGGAATTCATTTTAGGGATGTAAGGATGGTTTAACAAATTAATCATTGTGATACATACCACATTAGTAAAACAAAGGTTAAAATTCATATGATCATCTCAGATGCCGAAAAGGCATTTGAACATATTCGAGAACAATTTATGATAAAAACTCTCAACTAAGTGGGTATAGAGGGAGCATACCTCAATATAATAAAGGCCATAAATGACAAATCCACAGCTAAAATCACACTCGAGGGAAAATCTGAAAGCTTTTCCTCCATGATAAGGGCAAGATGCCCATTCTTGCCACTTTTATTCATCATAGTATTGAAGGTCCTAGCCACAGCAATCAGGCAAGAAAAAGAAATAAAAGACATACAAATTGGAAAGGAAGAGGTAAAACTGTCAGTACTGCTAATGACCTGATATTAGATAGAAAACCGTAAAGGCTCCCAAAAAACTGTTAGAAGCAATAAATAAATTCACTAAACTTCCAGGATACAAAATTAATATATAGAAATCTGTTGTTTCTGTACACTGTCAATGTGCCAGCAGAGAAATTAAGACAACAATCCCATATACAAATTCATCCAAAAGAATAAAATACCTGGGAATACGCTTAATCAAGGAGTTGAACAACCTCTACTCTGCAAAGTCTAAGACATTAGTGAAAGAAATTGAATATGGCACAAATAGATGTAAAGATATACTCTGCTCATGGATTGGAAGAATTAATATTGTTAGGTATCCAAACTACCCAAAGCAATCTACAAATTTATTGCAATTCCTATCAAAATACCAGTGGCATTTCCCACAGAACTAGAACAAATAATCCTAAAATTTGTGTGGAACCTCTGTAGACCTTCAGTAGCCAAAGTAATCTTGAGAATGTAGAATAAAGCTGGAGGAATCATGGTTCCTGATTTTAAACTATTATACAAGCTATAGTAATTAAAACAGTATGGTACCGGCACAAACACAGACACATCGATCAGTGATACAGAATACAGCCCAGAAATAAACCCACACTTTCCTGGTCTATTAATTCGTGACAAAGGAGGCAAGAACCTACAATGGGAAAGAGACTGTCTCTTCAGTAAATGGTGTTGGGAAAACTGGACAGCTACAAAAAAAACAAAAAACAAAAAAACCTGGGTCACTTTCTTATATCATATACAAAAATAAGCACAAAGTGGAATAAAGACTTAAATGTAGGACCTGAAACCATTAAATTCCTAGAAGAAAACATATGCAGTTTGATATCAGATGCAACCATATTTTGGGATGTGTGTCTCATCAGTTAAGGGCAACAATAGCAAAAAAAAAAAAAAAAAAATAAAAGTACTACATCAAACTAACAAGCTTTTATACAGTAAAAGAAACCATCAACAAAAAGAAAAGGCAACATAACTGAATGAGAGAAGATACTTGCAAATGATATATTTGATAAAGTATTGATATCCAAAATACATGAAGAACTCAATTCATGTCAACAGTAGTAAAACAAAATGCAATTAAAAAATTGACAGAGGACCTGAATAGAGTTTTCCAGAGTGATACATATGGCTAACAGGCACATGAAAAGATACTCACTGTCAGTGATCCTCAGGGAAATATAAACAAAACCACAATGAGATACCAATTCACACCTGTCAGAATGGCCATTAGCTAAAAGAAAGAAATAACACATGTTGGTGAGAAGTGCAGAAGAAGAAACTCTAATGTACTATTAATGGGAATGTAAATTGGTACAGCCACTGTGGAAAACAGTGTAGAGGTTCCTCAAAATATTAAAAGTAGAATCAACATATGTTCCAGCAAATTTCTCTTCTGAGAAATTTATCCAAAGAAAATGAAAACACTAATTCAAAGTTATATCTGCACCCCTAAGTTCATTGTAGTATTGTTTACAATAGCCAGTTAAGTAATCTAAAAGTGAATCAATCTAAAAGTGTGATCAGCGGATGAATGGATAAAGATCTCTCTCTCTCTCTCTCTCTGTCTCTTACACACACACACACACGAGTGAAATAATTAGCCTTAATAAAAAAATGAAACCTTGCCATTTGTGATAACATGAATGTACCTAGGGAGTATTATGCTGAGTTCAAATAAGTCAGACAGAGAAAGATAAATACTGTATGATTTCATTTACATATACAGTGTAAAAACCAAAACAAACAAAACAAAACAAAACAAACAGGCTTATAGATAGAACAAACTGGTGGTTGCCAGAGAGAGGCAAGTTTCAGGGATGGATAGAATTGGTGAAGGGTATTAGGAGGTAGAGACTTCTAATTATAAAATAAGTCATGGGGAGGTAATATAAGCATAGAGTTTGTAGTCAATTCTACTGTAATAAGTTTGTGTAGTATGAGGTGATCATTTTGTAAAGGGTAAAAATATTGAATCACTATGTCATACACCTGAAAATATGGTATTGTATGTTAAGTACAAATCAGTAATAAAAAAAGCCTTTCCTGTTTTGGACAACAACCCTTTATCAGACGTGTCTTTTGCAGTATTTCTCCAGATCTGTGATTTGTCTTCCCTTTTTCTTGACATTGTCTTTTGCAAAGCATATATTTCTGATTTTAAATAAATCCACCTTCATGAATTACTTCTTTTAGTGTTTTATCTCAAAGTCATCACTGTATCCAGGTTCATCTAGAGTTTGCATGTTATCTTTCAGAATTTTACAGTTTTTTGTTTCTAATTGCCTGTAAACCTATTTGAATGAGCTTTTGGAGTATTAGGTTTGGTTCTAGCTTCATTTTTTTTTTTTTCATGTAAATGTTCAGTTGTTCTAGCAACATTTGTTGAATAGACTACCTTTTTCCCCATAGTATTGACTTTTCTCCTTTGTCAAATATCAGTTGACCCCACATGCATGTGGGTCTATTTTTATGTTCTCTGTTGAGTCACGTTTATCTGTCTATTTCACTAGTAATGGATTGCCTTAATTACTTTTTACTTTTATATTACTTGATTATAGCTTTATAGTAGATCATGCAAACTCACTTTAAATTTTTAATTATGAAAAAATTTAAGAATCACAGAGGTAGCCATCAGTCCATTGGATACCCCTGTATGCATCATCTAGTCATCATACTCTTGTTTTAATTTTATCCCCCTTTCCACTTCTAACTCTCCTAAAAGAGAGTTAAAGTTTTTTGTTGTTTTTTTTTTTTTGAGCTAGGGTTCAGGTTGAATGTCTACTTTTTTTGGAAGATAGAGAAAGTCTATTGTGATACATAGTTTTATTTTATACACACACACACACACACACATATTGTAAACTCAGGAAAATGTAGAATTCATTTATAGATACAGCTTTATAATACTCATTTTATGAATTTTATCACATACATTTTATGTATTTGCTTCTTGATAACTAGGGCTTTTTTTTTTTTTTTTGAGTCACCTAAATAGTTTTTCTTAGGAAAGTATCCTTAATTCTTTGTCAGTTGTTTGAGATGCTCATCACCTTGGTGCTTTTATGGAAATAACATTTCAAGTCTCCAGTACACATTCACCTGATATTAGCAAAGGCATTATTTGTTCTTCTGTAAAAACACCTGATTTTTCTTTCTCATGTATTTTTTAGTTATTTATTTATATAACTATGGACATAGAGATACTTATTTTATTCTGTGGGTGATAAGCTAATACTATTATTATTTATTTTGTTGCCCAAATTTTTCAGCTTTGGCCTCAGGGAGTTTGTTTGTTTAAATTATTTTTTACTTTCTTCAATTTTGGAACCATTCATTTTCCCAAGGTGCAAAAGAACAGGTTTTTAAAGGTTCATTGATTTTTTTTTAATATAAGTCAGATTTCTTTGAAATGTTTCTATTTTTTATAAGTCACTTCAGCAACTTATTCAAGTAAAAGTGAAATTACTCAATGACCATGTGGTTTGAAAAATTGCCGACATAAACCACAATATAAAATGATCTAATTACCATCCATTAGAAACCCATTGTGGTAATGCATTTCTCCAGGCTCAATAGAAATAATATATATAATAAATCCTCTTTTTTTAAATCATACTGATGTAAACACTTGAAAAAACACATTTCTGTTGTCCTGTTCCTTGACAGAGAATGAAAGATACAATATTTTCTTTTTTCTTTCTAAGTTTTACCTTTAATTATCTGTATATCAGAAAACCAGATTATTAAGATGGTTAACATTATATGTATAATATACTCTGAATAAGGACTTGAGGATAATTTTTAAAGGCTTCATAATAGCCCCCTCAGTTATGTAGGAGAGGCCTTTCTACTTAGTTCTAAATTCACAGATGCATTACATAAATGTATTCATAGATGTATTACATAAACTGCTTCATGTCAGTTTTTAGATAAGAAATATATTAGAAGGTAAAGAATAAGTTACAAAAATTAAACAATTTGACTAAAAAATTAAAAAATAGAAATACCATATGATCAAATAATTCCATTACTGGGCATTTGCCCAAGGAGAATGAAAACACTAATTCATAAAGTTATATGCACTCCTGTGTTTGTTATAGCTTTATTTACAATAGCCAAGACATGGAAGCAATCTGAGGGTTCATTGATAGATGAATGGGCAAGGATGTGTGTGTACATACACACACACATAGAAATACTATACTCTCGGGGCGCCTGGGTGGCTCAGTCGGTTGGGTGACCGACTTCGGCTCAGGTCATGATCTCGCAGTTTGTGAGTTCAAGCCCCGGGTCAGGCTCTGTGCTGACAGCTCAGAGCCTGGAGCCTGCTTCGGCTTCTGTGTCTCCTCCTCTCTCTACCCCTCTCCTGCTCGCTCTCTCTCTCTCTCTCTCTCTCTCTCTCTCAGTAGTAAATAAACGTTAAAAAAATTAAAAAAAAAAAAGAAATACTATACTCTCTTAAAGGATGAAATCATTTCATTTGTGACAACATGGATGGACCATAGGTTATTATGATAGGTGAAATTAGATTGACAAAGACAAATACTATATGATTGCATTCATATTTGAATCTAAAAAAAACAGATGAACAAACAAAGAAAAAGTAGAATCTGGCCTATAAATACAGAGAACAAATCGATGGTTGCCAGAGGGGAGGAGAGAGGAAGGAAGATAGGCAAAATGTACCAAATGGGTTAAGAGGACCATGAGATAGAGGTTTCCAGTTATGGAATGAATAAGTCCCGGAAATAAAAGGCAAAGCATAGGGAATATAGTTGGTGATATTGTAATCATGATATATTGGTAACAAATGGTAGCTGGAATTGTGGCGAGGGTAGCATAGTCAAATCACTATATTGCATACCTGAAACTAGTGTGATGTTGTGTTTCACCTATACCCCCCAAAAACCAAAACAGTGCCACTGTTCTATTTTTTTTGAAAAGATTTTTTTCATTGAAAATAGATACTACAAAATAAAAAATTTCTAAGTACTGCTTTCATTTTTTTTTTTTTTTTAATTTTTTTTTCAAAGATTATTTTTGGGACAGAGAGAGACAGAGCATGAACGGGGGAGGGGCAGAGAGAGAGGGAGACACAGAATCGGAAACAGGCTCCAGGCTCTGAGCCATCAGCCCAGAACCCGACGCGGGGCTCGAACTCACGGACCGCAAGATCGTGACCTGGCTGAAGTCGGACGCTTAACCGACTGCGCCACCCAGGCGCCCCTCTAAGTACTGCTTTCAAATACGCATGGAAATATTTAAAGTTTATTATCTGGGCTGTTATCTCTAAGCACAAATTTTCCTCTTTCTGATCTGTTGAAATTATGACAAATGTAAAGTTAGTCAGATTTCAAAAGATTGCTGTATTAACTCTACAAGTAGTTGCTGAAGTTGTAACACCTTATGTCATAATGATATTAAAAAGTGAATTTCATTTTTCTATAAAAGATAACTGTTGAATTCCGTTTCAGACTCTCGATCTTATTCACTCAATTTCTTGAACGTATTATCCATAGTTATTTTATAACCATGTTACATTTTTGTCTATTATCTCCGTTTTCTCTCTTCTCTGTTATTTATTTATTTAATTTAATTTTTAACATTTTTTATTTATTTTGAGAGAGAGGAAGAGAGAGGGAATGCAAGTGTGAGCAGAGAAGGGGCAGAAAGAGAGACAGACAGAGAATTCCAAGCAGGCTCCGTGCTGTCAGCACAGAGCCCGACACGGGGCTCAAATTCAGGAACCATGAGATCATGACCTGAGCCAAAACCAAGAGTCAGATGCTCAACCATCTGAGTCACCCAGGTGCTCCTCTGTTTTTATATTTTTTCTTGATTTATATTCACATCATTGTGTCTTTTCTTATATGCATATTTTTAAAAGTTTGTATTTTTTTTAATGTTTACTTAGGAGACAGACCCAGTGCGAGTGGGGGAGGGGCAGAGAAAGAGGGGGATATAGAATCCGAAGCAGGCTTCAGGCTCTGAGCTGTCAGCCCAGAGTCCTACGTAGATTGAACTCACAAACTGTGAGATCATGACCTGAGCCTAAGTCAAACATTTAACCTACTGAGCCACCCAGCTGCCCCTTAAAAGTTTTTATTGAAGTAGAAATATGTGATGTACATGTGGCAGAAGCAAATGGCTTTATCAGGGAATAAAGAAAGAAGTTAAGAAATAGAAATTACAGATGTATTTCAGAAGCCCCTCTTTCCCCACTTTTTTTTTTTTTTAGCGTTTATTTTTGAGACAGAGAGAGACAGAGCATGAATGGGGGAGGGTCAGAGAGAGGGAGACACAGAATCTGAAACAGGCTCCAAGCTCTGAGCTGTCCGCACAGAGCCCGACACGGGGCTTGAACTCACGGACCGTGAAATCATGACCTGAGCCGAAGTCAGCCACTTAACCGACTGTGCCACCCAGGCGCGCCCCCCCCCCCCACTTTTTACTTAATATCATGTTTGCCTTTTGAAATGGAAACAGAATCTTTACCCTGAAGGACATTGTCTTTTCTTCCTTCCTCCTTTTCCTTCTTTACTTTATGAAAATTGTTGAACTAATTTGAAGCTTTAGATGATGAATTTTGGTTTGCTTGTAGAATATTACTGGGTAAGGGTATCAACAATCTGATTTGCTTTATCATTTCAGTTATGGATTGTGATAAATAAAAACTGGGCATTAATTTTAGCATCTTTATTCTCTAAAAGACTCTCAGGCTTTTATTTGTTTATTTATTTATTTAGCTTAATTAATTAATTAATTTTTAAGACTCTCAGGCTTTTAAACTAAAGAGTTGGGAGAGTTATTAGGACTTTGCTTTTGGGGGGATCTTGACGTCCAGTTTTTGTTTCTGTATTTTTGTGAGTCTCCTGAAAACTCTACTCAGATTCTAGGCCTCTCAGCCTCCTATTAGGTAATAGCATGTGTTTATATGGTTTTAGGGGAAAGCAATTGCAATTCTCATTTGGATTTCTGTATTTACTACTTCTGGGTCTTGCCTACATAATTCATCCCTGTTCTTTTAGCTTGTTAGTACCTTCAGATATGTTTCATGTTTTCACCCTAGCTTTTCTAGTTCTTACTAGAAGGGTTTGTTTCATATTGCCTATTCAGCCATTATTAGAAGCAGAACTCTATAATCCTGTATTACCTGTTTTAAAAAAGTGATCTTTAGGGGCACCTAGGTGGCTCAGTCAGTTAAGCATCCTGCAATTGATTTCAGCTCAGGTCATGATCTAATGGTTCGTGAGATTAAACCCTTTGGGCTGTGTGCTGGCAGCCTGCTTGGGATTCTCTCTCTCCCTTGGTCTTTCTCTGCCCCACTCCTGCTCATGTGCACTTACTCTTAAATAAACTTAAAAAGTGATCTTTAAAGACTTTATTTATGATGAAATTTTTGTTACCAGAATTTGGGACTTCTTTTAAGTATCTCTATCTAGCATTGATTAAAGTTATTTCACTGTAATGAATTCTCCAAATAGTACATCATGGTCAGAATGAAGCATTGCACAAGAGCTTTATGTTATATTTGTAAATTCTCAAATACAAGACAATTTCTTTTCTGAGGGAAATTTTGGAGATAAAGTTTTCTTTATATTTGGCAAGTTGGGATATTTGATTTGAGGATAATGGTTGGGTTTTTTTTTAATTTTTTTTAACGTTTATTTATTTTTGAGACAGAGAGAGACAGAGCATGAATGGGGGAGGAGCAGAGAGAGAGGGAGACACAGAATCGGAAGCAGGCTCCAGGCTCCAAGCCATCAGCCCAGAGCCCGACGCAGGGCTCCAACTCACGGACCGCGAGATCGTGATCTGAGCCGAAGTCGGACGCTTAACTGACTGAGCCACCCAGGCACCCCTAATGTTTTTTTTTTTTTATGTGGTTTCTAGAAAGAAAATTTCTTTTTATTTTATTTTTTTAATTTAAAAAATGTTTTTTGAGGTGGGGGGAGGGGCAGAGAGAGCAGGGGCACAGAGGATGCAAAGGGGTCTCTAGGCTGACAACAGTGAGCCCAGTCTGGGGCTTGAACTCATGAACCGCGAGATCATGACCTGAGCTGAAGTCAGTTGCTTGATCAACTGAGCCACCCAAGTGCCACCAGAAAGAAAATTTGTTAACCAAAGCAGTGGTAATAGCTACTATTTGAGTGTTTCATATGCACAGGGCATTGTGTGCCTTGTATAATCTCCACTAAACGAATCAATCTTTATAAACATTTTTATGACAGATACTTCTTTTATTCCCTTTTATAGACAAGTAAATGAAGACAAGGAGAGGTCAAGTAATTTGGCATGGTCATAGAGCCAGCACTGTTAGAGAAGTGGTATGATGTAGTATATACCCATTTTGGTTGTATGCACCTAGCTTCCATTCTTTTTGGGCTAATGTCTTTTCTGATGGATTGAAAACCGGTGAAAATATAGCCAGCAGCAGCACATATGCAGATATAAATTATTAGAGATTGGTTCCCATTCTGTGTGGAAGCGCTGTCTTGTTCATTAACCTCATAAAAACATCAGCCCTTCATTTATCAATTAAGCGATGCAAATATGTCTTTTATTAAAATAATATAATTGAACTTTAATAAACTGTGTTAATTAATAATGAAGGAGACATGAAATGAGTAAATACTTAGTGAAAGCAGCTTTTTATGTGCATGAGGATTTTGGTAGCTAAAGGGTGTTAATACAGCATTTTCATCATATATCAATTTCAAGTAGAGCTTGAACGTTTGATTAAAGTTGACTAAAGATGGTAGGTGAGTGCTTATGCTTAGAGGACATGATTATTTGGGTATCATTATATTAGTTTACTAATGCACTTAACAGAACTGGTTTGGCTTGGAGCTCCATAAAGGAATAGTCATTCAAGTCTGGCCTTGATTTAAGAGTATATCACCTCTTTCTTTTTTTTTTTTTTTTTTTTTTTTTTTTTTTTTTTTTCAACGTTTTATTTATTTTTGGGACAGAGAGAGACAGAGCATGAACGGGGGAGGGGCAGAGAGAGAGGGAGACACAGAATCGGAAACAGGCTCCAGGCTCCGAGCCATCAGCCCAGAGCCTGACGCGGGGCTCGAACTCACGGAGCGCGAGATCGTGACCTGGCTGAAGTCGGATGCTTAACCGACTGCGCCACCCAGGCGCCCTATCACCTCTTTCTATAAGTGGCCTGAGGTGATTACTGAAAATTACTCACTTTACCCAGAAAACCCTACAAAGTCATGCAGATCAAGAGATTCAAGTCTTCGTGTTCACTTTAAGAACACACATGAAACTACCCAGGTCATCAAGGGTGTGCATATCCAAAAAAGCCACCAAGTATCTGAAAAATATCACTTCACAGAAGCAATGTGTGCCATTCCATCACTACGATGATGGAGTTGGTAGGTGTGCCCAGGCCAAAAATAGTGGGGCTGGACACAGGGTCGCTGGCTTAAAAAGAGTGCTATAATTTTTACTGCACATGCTTAAAAATGCAGAGAGTATTGCTGAGCTTAAGGGTTTAGGTATAGATTGTCTGGTCATTGAACACATCCAAGTGAACAAAGTCCCCAAGATGCAACATAGAACTTACCGGGCTCATGGTCAGATTAACCCATACATGAGCTGTCCCTTCCACATTGACATGATATTTACTATAAAAGATCAGATTGTTTCTACACCAGAAGAGGAGGTTGTGCAGAAGAAAAAGACACCCCAGAAGAAACTGAAGAAACAAAAACTTAGGTGCCAGGAGTAAATTCTGCATAAAATAAATGCAAATTTAAAAAAAGAGTACTTATTTCAATTACAGTCCTCTCTTTTTTTTTATTTTCCTCTCTTTTAAAGGACTGGGAGAGAAGTAAAATTGACTCTCAAACAACACAGGTTGAACCATGCAGGTCAATTATACATAGGTATTTTTCAGTAACTGTAGTTCAGTCCTGTATGTGTATTTTTTCTTATGATTTTCTTAACATTTTCTTTTATATAGTTAACTTTATTGTAATAATACAGTATGTAATACATATACAAAGTATATGTTAATTGATTGTTTATGTTATCAATAAGGCTTCAATTAACAGTAGGCTATTGGTAGTGACGTGTTTTGGGAGTCAAAAATTATACTCAGATTTTCAACTGTGTGTGGGTCATTAAACCCCATGTTGTTCAAGGGTCAACTTGAAGTAGTTTATTTTGAATTGGGCATTCAAATAGTGAAGTAAACAGTCAACAAAACTAAAAGGCAGTCTATGGAATGGGAGAAGATATTTGCAAACGACATACCTGCAAACTCAGTTAAGTAACGGGCAGAAGACACGAATAGACACTTTTCCAAAGAAGACATCCAGATGGTTAACAGACACATGAAAAGATGCTCAGCAGTGCTTATCATTAGGGAAGTACAGATAATGTTACAATTTCTAGTTTACTTTTGAAGGTGGGTATTTAAAAAAAACTCCTTTTGTTTCCAAAGAGTTCTTTGTTGATGTCTGTATTAGTTTGCTAGATCTGACATAACAAAATACCAGACTGGGTGACTTGATGAATCCATTTATTTCTCACATTCTCATAGTTCTTCTAGGAGGCTGGAAGTTAAAGATCAAGGTGTTGGCAAATTTGGTTTCTACTGAGGCATCTCTCTTTGGCTTGCAGATGGCTGTCCTGTTACTATGTACTCATATTTGTTTTTTCTCTGTGCCACCATTGGTGTCTTCTTATAAGGATACCAGTCCTATTGGATTAGGGTCTCACCCAGATGGTCTCAGTTACACTTAATTACTCCTTTAAAGGCCCTAGTTTAATGTATAGTCACTTCCAGAATGAGGTCTTTGACATGTGAATTTGGAGGGTGAGAAGTACAGTTCAGTCCATAACAATACCTTTTGCCCCTTTTTAAATTGAATTCATTGTGGGTTTTTGTTTTTCTTTTTGTCTTACTGTTGAGTTTTGGGAGTTGTCTTTATATTCTGGATACTAGTCCTTTGTCATATATGTGGTTGCAGATACTTTCTGCCGGTCTAGAATTTTTTTATTCTTCTTTAGAGGGTTTTTCATGGAGCAAGAGTTTTTAATTTTGATGAGATCCAAATGTTCTCTGTTATTGACTGTGCTTTTGGTGTCAAGTTTAGGAACTCTTTACTTAACTATATAACTTTTAAAAACTGTTCTGCCATGTTAAAGTAAAAATGATTAGAGATCACAAAAATTATACATTTTCTTTTGCCGCGGGGAATTTGTGAATTTACAGAAAGAACATTCACTTGGAAGAATAGAAGCAGGTTAGTCGTGAACAAAAGAAATTTCTAGGAGATGGTCCTTCATGGGTTTTCCTCATTTTTACAGCTCATCTGAGTAAAAAGCATTGGTAGGTTTTATTTTGGACTATATTTTAAGGATGTTCATATAGCAAGCAGCCTTGAAAAAGAGAGAGACTGTTTCCCTCCTGGACAAGGTTAGCTTACCTGGTAGCATCATGATCTGCTCGGTTATCCCAGCTAGGAATTTGGGGCATCCTCATTAAGTGTTTCTATTTCTTCCTTCACATTCACTCAGTGCATCCTGTTGATTTCAGCCTCTGAGTAGTTATTAAACCTATCTGACATTTTCATCCTTATCGCTGATCACTCTGATTCATTACCTCATCCTCTCCAGTGTCATTTCTATATTTCTGCTTTCCAGATTTTTTTCTCTTTGTCTTTAGTTTTCAGAAGTTTGACTTAATATGTCTTGTTATGGATTTATGTCTGCCTTACTTAAGCTTTACTGACCTTATTCAGTCTGTAGTTTTACTACTTTTGCCAAATGTAGGAATTTTCCAGCCATTATTTCTTAGAGTACTTTTTCAGCCTTTCTTTCTTTCTTTCTTTCTTTCTTTCTTTCTTTCTTTCTTTCTTTCTTTCTTAAGTTTATTTATCTTTGAGAGAGACAGAGACAGTGTGCAGAGGAGGGGCAGAGAGAGGGAGACACAGAATCCAAAGCAGACAGCCATTGTTTCTCAGAGTACTTTTTCAGCCCCACGCTTTTTCTTCTGTTTCCAAGATTCAGATGACAAGAGATGTTATTTTGCTATAGTTCCCTAGGTCCCCAAAGTTCTGTTTTTAAGTTTTGTTTTTGTTTTTTTCTTTGTCCTCAGTCTGTTTTTTCGCTGTTGTTCAGATTGGGCCATTTCTATTTCATTATGTTTGAGTTCACTGATAGTTCCTTTTTTCCCTTAATACTGCTTTTGATTGTAGTCATTGTTTAATTTTGATTCTTGTGTTTTTCTTTTTTAAAGTTTACTTATTTATTTTTAGAGAGGGAGAGAGAGAGAATCCCAAGCAGGCTCCACGCTGTCAGCACAAAGCCCGACATGGGGCTTGATTTCACCAACCGTGAGATCTTTATATATTCTGTTTCTTCAGATTTTAACTCTTTGCTAAGACTTTCTGTTTTTTCATTTGTTTTAGGAATTTTCCTCGTTGCTCATTAAAGCATTTTTATGATGGCTGCTTTAGAATTTTAATCAGATCATTCTAATATTCCTATCATTTTAGTGTTGGCTTCTACTGGTTATCATTTTTCATCCAGTTTGAGATCTTCCTGGTTCTTGGAATGATGAATAATTTTTATTGAAACCTGGACATTTTGAATATCATGAGATTCAGGATCTTATTCAGATCTTCTGTTTTAGCTGGGTTTGTTTGATACTATTTCATTAAGGAAAGGTGGAGTGCGTGCCGCCTTCTTACTGCTAATCATGGTAGCAGTCCGGGTTCCCCACTCAGCCTCCATTGATACCTCGGGGAGGTTGCACTCGCTGTTACTGTGGGTAAATGGGGGATTTCTGGCTGCTTACTAATTCTCTCCTGATTGCTCTCAGGCGGGGAGGGATAGAAATGCCTCCTTGTTCCCCATGTTTCCTGAGTAGTGTCCTTGTTACCACTGGGTGGTGGTGCTATAAATCTTGAGTGTCCTCAGTATTTTCTTACACTAGCTCAATAGGGAGGGTTGAGGTCATTTTGTTCTTGATGGGAGGACTTAGATATGCAAGTAACCTGCTTTGTCTTTATTGACACCTTGGGGATGCCTTGTTATCTCCTGGTGGAGATTAAAGTCTTGGGCTGTGGAGGCCTTTTTTGACATCACCCCAGTGGGTTGATTGAGGCATCTCATTACAGCTCGGGAAGTTCCCATGTCACCCACCCAGTAGGGGTGGGAATGAGGCCTTAGTTTTTTTTCCCTCTATCAGTAGCTGTACGAGAGCAGTTATTTTCTGAAAAATTTTGTCGTGCTAGATTTTCTTTTTTTGGTCCTTTGGCTACAGACAGTAGGCTTTTGGAGGGTTTGTTTCATCTGTGCTTGGCGTTTTTGGGTTATCAGCTTCTCTAGCACTCAGCTTCTTTGATATATGACTAAAAATGAAAATCCAAGGAACTTACTGTTGTTTCATTGTTTGGGTCATGGGGTCCATATCTAGTCTTTCTTCTCTCTTCCTTTCCCTGCTTAAGTTTGTTTCATATGTAACATCTCCAGTTTCTAGTTGTACATAGTGAGAGGAATAGGAAAAAGTACATCTACTCCCATCTTTTCAACAGTAGAAAGTGTGTTTCAGGTAGTACTTGATAATAGAAATTACCTGTAAACAATCGTTGGATTAGATCGAGGTGGATATTATTGTCTTTGTATGCTTTTTGTTTGTTTGTTTGTTTGTTTTTAAGACTAAATGCCTCTAGGCAGATTTTATTGGCAGAGATACTAATGCATTCAAATTAAAAGTACAAGTCAAAAATATAGAATCAACCTCTGGATATATATAGGTATCAAACAGAGTTTTTCCTGACAACACAGAGACTTGCTACTTAATCACTCGTTTTTAACCTGTCAAGTTTTATTGCGATTTCTTTTATGTGTGCTGCAGTTGAAACACTTCTCTTTATTCTGACCCTTTGATCCAGTTATACACTGACTGATAATGCATGGCAATAGTTTTCAGGTTTTAGGTAGTCTCATCTTATAAGCTTTGTTAGAGTCTCATGTTCAAGTTTTGCCTTTGGTCACCTATAGATATATCTGTGAGGATTTAATATTTTCAGAGGTTTACTATGTAATATAAAAGAAGTATTACTATGTAATATAAAAGAAGTATTATCTATAGCACTAAAAGACAGTTACATTGTTATAAAAATCAAGGCCTTTCTTTTATACAGGTAGCATAGTATTTTCAAATCTCTTTAACAGTAATATTCTTCAGTAAAATACTAGAGTAGATGGTAAAAAGAAAGTTTTCTTTTATTTGTTTCTTATAGGAAGACGGTTTAGAAGACGATGAAAAGAATTTCTATGACTCTGATGATGACCAGAAGGAAAAGACTGACAAAAGGAAGAAGTCATATACTATGGATCCAGACCATAGACTTTTAATTCGGAATACAAAGCCTTTACTTCAGAGTAGGAATGCAGCGGTATGTTAAACCTTACAAAAATCATGGGTTTGTTTTTTTTTTTTTTAAACAGTGGTTAAAAGTATGTAAGTTCAGTAAACAAGTCTTTATTTTTTAGTGTGCTACTGGATCATTTGTTTGTTTATTTGTTTATACATCAAAAATCAGGCTTTTATTAGATTACTTGGCTTGGTAGTTATATACCTACTGGACTTCATTTACTTTTTTGTGGTTTTGTTAATTGGCTTTTCCTAAGATGTTTCTCAGTGGATTGGAAGACTGCATATTTCTGTTACTTGGTTGTAGTTGAGAGCACTTAATCTGGTATCAGTCCATAGTATTTATATGAACCTTGTAAGAATTTTTAAGAGGCTAACATAGAAAAAAGCTCCTAGCATAACACCACATCCATAATAAATTTTAGTTGGTAGGGTTGACTAACAATTAAAAATCATCTTCATTTGAGTCCTGAGCTTGTTTTATTTTGTTTTACGTCTTCTTATTTTAAATATACTTTATATTTCAAAACAATACATGTACACAATAAAAAATTAGGAAGTAGGGACTAGCAGAAATTTAAAAAAACTTAAAATATCATATTCCAATCATTCAGAAATCACTGTATAATATCTTGATGCATTTTCTTCCAGATCCTTTTTCTGCATAAATATATGTATATTCACATGTGCGTATATCTACACATATGTATTTTTTAAACTAAGATAAAAATCATACTGCATATAGTACTTTTTAATCTTTTTTTCCCTAGTCAGTCCTCTCTATTTCAGTAAAATTTCATCTCATTTAATGCCAATTTATCTTAAATTATCTTTTATAAATAGATAATCTAAACCAGTATCTCTTGCACCTGGTTGTTATTGTTCTTAAACCTCTCAAGTCTTGCAGAATACTCTTCTGGGTTTTCTCTTTGCTTCTTTTATAGTGCTATTTAATTTTTTCTTCTGTACCTCTGTTTTACCTGTTAACTGGAAGTTATATCTAAACGTTAGATGGAGTCAAGTAAAACATTTTCTTAATATTTTTTAATTAAAAATGTTCTTAATTACTCTGTTTAACTAGTAAAAACTTAGAAAATGTGGAACTGTACTTGAATTACTTTAAGTTTTCTGATGCTTGTGAATTTAGAGCTTAGAGTTTTGTATATATATCCTAGTAATCAGCAGAAGTTTTTCTCTTATACCTCAATTTAATTTCTATATCACTATTAAATAACCATACACAGTAATAAAAAATATTATTTTGTAAAATATGATTCTGTTTCACTGAGCCCAGCTTGGCCAGCTTGTATTTAAGTAGCTGTAACTTACCACCCAAAACCATTCTTCATAATTGACTCACTGTTTAACTTTGCCTTGGGAATTGATTTTATAATCCAAATACTTACTGATCAAAAATGTTCTTGAATGGTAAAACAAATAGAAGTAGCTTCTATTTCTTGTCCCAATATGTTTTGATTCCCTGCTTACTTGATTGTGTACCAAATGGACACATTTCCCTTTGTGTCCCAGTATGTTTTGGTGTCCTGCATATTTGATGCTGCCAAACACATGTAAAGCCTGGCTTGAAGGATTGCGAACAGATTTCTTTATTTTAGCCCTGTTCTCAGTTAAAGGAGAGACTTTGAGAATTTTTTTTTCAGGAAACTTACTTGGTCAGTGCTGTGTAGATTGAATTGCAGGCATGGGGCACTGGAAACAGTGTTGGGAGGCTGCTCTAACGGTCTAAATAAGGTGATAGTGGTATCAGTAGTTAGGAATAGAAAAGTGCTTATAGGATATACTTGTATCATGAATGTACATCATGTAACTGTACAAGGCCTATCCAATTTGTATGTTTTACTTATTTTGGACTTTGGAGATATGGGAACTTCCCTCTTACAGAGCTTTTACAAATTAGACTACAAATTTCAAATTCTGGTTACAGAAGAAACTTTAAACTGTTAGATTTGTAAATACTGGGGGAGAATAAGAGTATGTAGCCCTTGTGGGCTTGAGGGAGTGCCCTAATTAACATATGAGAGGAGATGACATGCTAAGTGGCATCTAGAATCTTAAAAGCCTTGACATACATAGAAAGTATGGTTTATCTTCTTTCCAGTAGCATTTGGCTTACTATTTTTAACAGAAAATGACTTAATTATTTCCTGTAAAATACGTGAAAAGAAAGCTTCAGCTTTTCTGTTATATACTAATACTTATTAGCCAGCTGTATGCTTTAATATTTTAAAAATATTTCTTTATTTTTGAGAGAGAGAAAGCATGAGTGGGGGAGAGGCAGAGAGAGGTGGACAGAGGATCTGGAGTGGTGTCTGGGCTGATAGCACAGAGCCCAATAAAGGGCTCGAACTCAGGAATCGTGAGATCATGACCTGAGCCAAAGTCGGATGTTTAATCGACTGAGCCACCCAGGCGCTCCTGCTTTAATATTTTTTTTAAATGACTATCACCTATTTTAGATTAAAACAGTCATTAATTGAGATTTTATTTTATAAGATTTTAAATTCTGGAGAGTTTGTTCTGTAACTAGAGTGTATTTGTGGATCATAACTGAAGAAATAAAATATCCTTAAACTCCTCAAATTCCCAATATCTGAAAGCTATAAATCAGTCTTATAA